CGTGCCCACTTCATACTGTGTTCCTTACCCGCTCGAAGACATTTCAACAAGCGGTTTTGTTATCGATATATTACTTGAGCTGGAGAGATAAAGCATACACAGTGACCAAGCGACCCACAGTAAAGTGTACAGTTCGCCCGCATTTGCTACAAAAATACAGACAGGATACCCAACATTCTTTTTAAGGTTATGCAAATCACTTCGAGTGAATACACAGTGTCCCTACTCCTCATAGCGGGTAACCTAAACAATGTATGCAACGAAAGAGTGGTTAGTCCAGTTGAACTGAATATAAGCATATAAGACCATAATGAAGTCTGCTGTAACGAAGTAATAACATAACAAAGCTATTGCAGGATTCGGCTCAACTCGAATACTTTAGTGTAAACCCGCCGCTAATTGCTAACATTTGAACTTGCCAAGCTGTATGCCCGAGATTGAAGACTGGAACCTAATCCTATCTAAGTTTCGGTTCACAAAACGCACATGCCAACATAAACGAACCCAGCAAAACGTTTTCAGAAACTTCGCGCGACACCCAGAAGAGCAGAAATGGAAATCGCCAACACTTGGCAGATGGTGATACAAAACATCGCACACTTTCAGGTGATGTGCAGTGGCCTCAATCATGGCAAGAAAGTGAGATTCAAGTTGTTGTACGTATGCAAAAGCTGCTTCTGATGGCACAGTGAGATTACCAAAAAGTTTGCTGGGGACGTGGTATGCTTTGAGCATTGTGAAATACTGGTGGGTCCACTGTGCTGCTACTTTGTCTTGCAGATGTCTAATGGTTTGCTTGTACTTCGTTGATGGACACATTGTCGCTGGCACACAGGAACGCACTGCAATAAACAAAAAATGGATGTAAAAGCGAAGAACAACTAATCTCATACGAGCACTTTCCTCGCTCTTTCAGACCCAAGGTGCACAACTTTCTGCGGTGCAAAGTTTTCGATTCCAATACCTAAAAACAAACCATTCACAATGTTGACAATGCACAAAAAAAATGAAAATCACTGAGAGCCCACCCTTACATTTTGTAAGTGCACACGTAGTGTCCTTTTGAGGATAGTTTCCTCAGAATGTCCTAAACATAAAATAGCACATTAAAAACAGCTGCAATAAAAGCATAGTCACCATTTTCTCTAGGGCACTCAGGCGTGGAGCTGTTGGCGGAGACATCTTCTGGAGGGTCTTGTGAAGCTTGTTCAGTGCCTCGGACAGTGCTGTCGGAACAATCTTGCGAGCGGCCTGCGGAAGTCTCTATATCAATCCACTCTGGTGTTGAAGTGAACATACAACTTACCGGTCACACAAGTTCTTTTTTGTGACAGCTGAACGACTGGTTAGGTTTTTTTCCGGCAAGACGAAATCAGCAGAAATTCTTTCACCAGCTACAAGGGAGCTGCCACCTGCAGAGGTTTGGTCAACAGTCAATTTGGGTAAAAAAAAAGAAATCGCGACACTGAACGCACCCTGCTCATCGGGGCACCTCAATATGTGGGAGCCGCTTTTTGAAGCCTCTACCGCAGGTCCTGAAGAAATGAAATTACGACAATGTGTCAGTAAGATGCTTAAAATAACACAAACTGAAGCTCATCCGAACCTTGCAGTGCAGCTTCTGCAGTCATGTCACAGTCACTATTTGAAGTGACGCTCGGAGAACGTGCATATATGTGCAGTTGGTACAAGTTACAAAGTTTGTAGCATGGGGGAACTTAAACAGCTCTTTCAAATGCATAAATTGGTCGAACGTGGAAGAAAAGAGAAGGCACCAACTAGGAAACAAGTAATTTGTGATTTTTGGAATTATCAACAGTGCCAGCTTTCACCGATGAAAGGTATATGTACATGTGCACTCAGGCTTGAAGATAACGTGAAATAGCCCTTTAAAGTATTTCAAAACAAGTGGCGCAGGTCAAGAGCATCAAAAAATGACAGAAATGTAAAGCTGCTGTTAGGAAGGTAATAGCCCACAATTCACAAAATTTAAGACTTTCCAAGTGTTACTTCTATAGTGAGGTTTCTCCATCGGCTACAAAGATCTTCGCGGTTAACTGTCGCCACTGATTCAATACAAGTGGCTGCTATTACACATATTTGAGTTTCAGTCAATCACGTACATGGTGCAGCTGGTTGCACACTGGGAACAGCCATTCTTGTAAGCCTTGTTTGCCCAGGGTCCATGAAACTTTGAGCAGTAAAATGGTCGCTACAAACCCTGTACGTTGCGTACAATAGGCTGGCCGGCTTACTCAGGAGATCATCGCGTCCAGCATACTGCATCCATGCTTTCATCCTGCATTGGCAATGAACTATCAGCTGAAAGGGGAAGTGCTTGAATAGTGATTTTTTATTGTTACCCTCACTGAGCAAGTACGAACAGTAAGCCTAAAGACATGCAAACCATACAAAAGCTTTAACACACCTGCCGTCCCGTGGTATGCGGAAGAAACTCGTCCCAGGCTTCTTGTGTGTTCTGCCATTGTTGAAGCACCACGATACACAGCAGTAGCTGCCGTAGCTTAGACCGCCGGACGGCATGGCATCAGCGCGGTCTGAAAATGTTAGTAAGTGGATGCTTCGCTGTTAAATTACGAAAAAGATATGTGCACGTCATAAGTGTACCAACAAACCCCTTTGAATGATTAGCTAATCGATGCACAATACAAAACCAGTGATAGATCTCTGACCCATAAAACTCTGACTTACAAAGATATACGCCAAGACCACGTACAAAGATCTTCAGAAGTTTCCAGGCCGCTATCCCTTGTAATGCAATGGTATCGCGGCCTGGGAACTTTAGAACACCTTCGTACGTACGCAGTATCAGCAGTACATTGGGAAGAAATATCGTAGTTGAAATTTGTGCGGTAAAATTATATTGGAAACGTCAAAAAAATTTGTGAGCAGCTTGCACTAGTGGCACAAGGCTAGCGGAGAAGCGAAGATGATGGCCACTTAGCTAGTCCAGATTTGCCTCCGGCACACCAAGAATTATTCGTGTTCTGAGCCTTCGGGAAACGCGTCGTGAAGCATGCGAGGCCCAGCGAACGCTTCTCAATATTTTGCACCGAGCCACAGAGCCTATGACCTAGCTGCCCAGCTATGCTCAGCGCACAGACGCTCGCGTCCGTGGCAGACGCAGCACGCGTCGCCTCGGCTTGACGCCGTGCCGCCTTTGCTATACTGCATACGTTGCACTATGTTCCCGTCTAGCCGCCGCATAGAGCCACAAACTTTTTTTAGCGAACCTCCCAGTCCTTACAAGCTTCAGAAAAAGGTTACAACTGCGTGAATGAGACGCCACGTAAGAAACAGACTCGCACACACGAACCGCAACGTGTGGGTGTGCATCTTTCTGTTTGTTGCACGGTGTCTTATTCACGCAGGTGTAACCGTTTTCTGAAAAAATGACCCAACAAGACCAACAACATGTCATTCAACAAGCTTCGTTTGAAAACGTGCCTCACCTGTTATCTCACGCACGAAAACGCCGAGGCAGCCGACGTTGACGAAAGCGACGAAACACCTTTTCTTCCTCCGTGCGACGAAAGCTTCTCGCTGTCAGTCATGCATGGGCTTGTCGCTGGGTAGATGCTGTTTATGACAGTACGGCTGAAGAAAAATAATCACGTAAGGTGTGTTGAATAAATTGTTTTTATGTATAAAGAACATACCAAATTTTGGCGTATAATTATTATTTTGTGAAAACAATTCTGTTGCATTAATTATAACTGTTTTTTTTGCGCTTGCGCCCTCTGACGTTTGGTGAGAGCACTAGTTTGTTACGTAGTCGTGACGCACTTCCTGAGGCCAGGTTTCGCGGAGTGTTGTTGTTGTTGTTGTTGCCCCTTCGCACTGGCACATACCCACTATGGGGGATTGGCCATGAAATCTAGAAGTATCCTATATGAGATATATTAAAAGGTTTATCCTTAATGAAAAAACTAATAATGTAATAGAAAATAATAATTCCTCTCTTGTCTTCTTCTTTCTCTATGCTATGCAGTGATGCCAACCCTAGGGATTTATCTCTATATCTAGGGGTTTTTTGTCTCTTTTAAAGATTTGGTGTCTTTTTTGTGAAATCTAGGAATTTTTTAGAGTGTTGAAATGAAACGCTATGCAGCTTAATGACGGGTGTTGCTGAGTAACCACGCGTTTTTATAATGAGTAACTGCAAAGAATGTAATTTTTTGCTAAGTTCTATTTTTCATTTCTAACTTTCCTTCGCTATTTCTATTTTTTTTTCGTTTAAAAGAGCATTGGTGTTGTGCAAGCCGAGAGAGGGTGACTTTGGTTCTGTAACGCGAGCATTGAGAAAGTAATTTCTTTTTCTATGACGCGAGGTTCTCGCAGTAACAACCTCTGATGTGTGCTGTCGAAGGAACTTGTCCGAATTTGTCGTCACGAGTGACAACTTTTCTTCGCAAGTGAAGTGCAACTGTGGAAACTCTGAGGTGTGCTGTACACTCGAAGGAACTTTTCCGAACTTGTCTTCACGAGTGACTACTTGGCTTCGCGAGTGAAAGTGCAATTGTGACTTACAGTGCACGAAAAAACGCGCGAAATTCACCTCCGCCGCGCACCTTCACTGTGCAAAGTGAAGGCGCGCTCCATGTGAAATGGCAACTTCTGGACGAAGAGACTTTGAGCAAGGTGAGCCGAGTAGAAAGAAAGCGAAAGCATACGATCAAAAATATTTGACGAGATGGGAAGCTGAACCAAAGTACAAGGGATGGCTAGCAGCGAGTAAAAAAGGGCCCTTGTACTTTTACTGCAAGTCATGCAACGCTGATTGCAAAGGTGGAAAATCGGAAATCGACCGCCACCTCGCAAGTTCCAGGCACAGGAACAGTGCTGCAAGCTTGCAATCGACCCGCACGCTGACATCTATGCCTGCAGTAAGTGGGCAAACTCAGCTACACAAATCTGTCAAAGAGGCGGAAATAAGGCTTGCAGCGTTCATCACAGAGCATAACCTGCCATTTAATGTCATGGGGAATTTAGTTGACGTTGTCAAAGCAGCATGCGATGATTCCCAAATTGCAAAGAATGTGAGCTGTGGCCGGATGAAGTGCACTTCCATCGTAAAAAATGTTCTTGGAGAGCAGAGTCGCCAAGACATCTGTGAACTCTTGCGCAGACAGAAGTTCTCTCTGCTTGTCGACGAATCTACTGACAAGGGAACAGTGAAGCATCTGTCCCTTGTCACCCGAGTGATGAATGCCAACGGCGACGTAGTGGATGCGTTTCTTGACTTGGTACCAGTCAGCGACGGAACCGCCCAGTCTCTCTTCAGCAGTCTGAAGGCAGTCTTTACTAGCACAGAAATTCCATACGAAAGAAACTTGATCGGTTTCGCGGCGGACGGAGCAAACGTGATGATGGGTGCTCGTCATTCCGTCGCATCGATGCTGCAAGCACAAATTCCAGGAATTTTCATTCTGAAATGCATTTGCCATTCCTTCCATCTCTGTGCCTCCTACGCGTGCAAAACACTACCGAGAGGAGTGGAGGATCTGGCCCGCGATGTGTACAACTACTTTTTGTCTCCCAAGCAGACGTCTGCATACCAGGAGGCCCAAGGCTCGCAGAGGTGAAGCCACATAAGCTACTGCACCCGAGCCAAACCAGGTGGCTGTCCCTCCAAGTTGTTGTTACCCGCCTACTTGAGCAGATGCCGGCCTTGATTTCATTTTTCAAAAAAGCAGCCACTGAGGACCGCGTGCTTGCCGCAGAAGCCATTCTCGAGAAGCTTAGCAACCCGTCGACTAAGCTTTACCTCGAGTTTCTTGAGTACGTTCTGCCTTTTTTTTTACAAACCTAAACAAAGAAATGCAGTCCGAGGAAACCAGAATCCAGTTGCTGCACGAAAAGGTTTCGGGCATGCTAAAATGCATACTCGAATGCTACATCAAGCAGAACTACTTGGAGGCCACGCCGTTGTCCGATGTGCAGTACAGAGACCCCGCGAAGTTCCTGCCACTAGAGGAAATATATCTCGGAGCAAAGCCAACTGCAGCGCTATCCGGTGGCACACACGGCCTAAACGATGACCAGATTCACAACTTTAGGCTGCGGTGCTTAGAGTTTTTCATCGAAGCCGCTCGTCAGATATACTTGCGGTTCCCCCTGAAAAATCACCAGTTGAAGAACCTTCCAGTTCTGGACCCGAAAGTTGTCATGGGAAAGACGATTCCATCAATCGCGCCCTTTGCGGTCTCATTTCCCCTGATCGTGAGGGAAAATGAAGTGAATGAACTGGACAGGGAGTGGCGTCTCCTCCGCAACATGGACCTGAGTGAGCACGCTGGCTTGACTGCGAGCCAGTTTTGGCATGCTGTATCCCAGATGCGAAGAGGCGATGGATCACAAGAGTTTCCCCTGTTGTCAGCGTTTATGAAAAACATTATGTGCCTACCACACTCCAGCGCTGCGGTCGAACGTGTGTTTTCGCAAGTAAATCTGCTGAAAACAAAGCAAAGAAACAGGTTGTCAACAGACGCGTTGTGCGGCGTGCTGCACGCAAAAAGAACCTTGACGGACAGCTCCTGCTACACCTTCCAGATCACTCCATCGCATTTGAAGCGGATGAAGAAAGAAATGTATGGTGATTAAGACTTCAAAGGGTTACGTGTCACGATGTCCAGCATTTTCGTCGTCCTGCAAGCCTCGGCCGGCTGCCTCAGTAATTTGCGCATACAGAGAAGAGACTGTTGCAAGAGCATTTCAAGAGGCGTTGCTGTGAAACCAGAGTCGTCTGCTCGAAGAAGCGAATTCACATCGCTCCACAGAAAATATTGAAAAAAAGAGCTGCAGTTGCTGCTAGTAAACTATATCTTAACCCTAATGAGATTCAGAGCGAACGAGGCGAAGAGCAAGCGGCGTTTAGACTAATAAAGGTGAATACCAACGTGCGAAAAGAAAAAAAAAATGCAATCTGGGGATTTTGTCTGCTATCTGAGGATTTTCGAGGGGTCATTCTAGGGATAAAGCGTTGATGCTATGAGCGTCGTCGAGAACAATCGAGTGGCACGGCGGCGCCTGATGACTGAGCTGTTCGTGTATCTGACGGAGAGCTATCCGCGTAGCTTCTGCGAGTTCTTGTACGGCCGCTGGCGTTGGCACACCGCATGTTCATGTGGGTACTGTTTGACCAAGTTGCGTTTGTAGATGAACGCCAGCGTCGGAATAGCAGATGTTGTAGACAAAGCTGTCGGCGTAAGGCGATGCCCATTCGCGGCACGTGACGTGCACGGCATAGCCTTGGGAGCTGGGTTGAACGCGATGTCTTTGGATGACTGTTTGAATACCTGTGAACTGACTGATACCTTATCACCAAAACCCGGTGGAATGAATGAGTGATTCTTAAGAGAGAGAAAGGAAGAGAAAAGTGAGCCCCGTTATTGTCTGCTTCAGTGAGCGACACCGCCACAGTAGCTCACAAGGGATGGGGGTGAGGAGGGATAAAAGGGTAGGAGTAAAGGTGTAGAAAAGAGGAAGAAGAAGCGACAACAAACTGAGGGGATAGGAGAGATAGGAAAGATGGAAGCACGGTCACTGGAGTCCGAGGACGGGGCACACTTGCGAGAGCTCTTGTCGGCGTCTGTAGATGGCGTAGAGCAAGTCCAGTAAGTCAGAGCTACCCTGTCGTCGAAGGTCGTCGGCGTCAGGAGGTGACGTAGGGCGAGCCTAGTCGGCCAGAGCTACGCTGACGCCGGAGATCGCAAGCGCGCGGAGCGCACGGGCGCACAACCGGTCGGCACGGAATCCAGCAAGCGACTCGACGTCCGGACAACTTGGCTTGTTGGGGCTGCGTGTTCGTGACGGCCTGAGGATCGGAACCAGACGAATCGCAGATCAGGAGGAAGCATAGCTACCATGATGGCGTCCTGCTGCGAGATGATGTTACGGAGATAAAAACGAGCCTCCTTTTTGATGAGCCAAATAGCTGGACATCTTGGCGAAAATTCGGGTAAGTACGGTGGTAACAGGATGTTGCGCACCATGGTTAATAGCCGCGCCATGTTGATGGGCGGGTCAGAGGTTGGTTGGCTCAGTGAGAGTGTCTGGTCGCATTTTCTGGAATGTTATTTCATG